GCTCAGCGGGGACCCCACAGTGTGCCTGGCAGGTCCCCAAAACCCTGAGCCAAGTCTGGGGTCCACACAGGCCTGGATTTAGACACCCCTAGGAGGAAGGAGACTGAGGGGGCAAGATGCTCGCCCTCCCCTCTTGATCGCCACCCTCGCTAACCACGCTGACCCCACAGCTGTCAGACTCCACCTGCACCTTCGCCCCCCCAGGTCATTCCCCCTTCAACCCATAGTCCACTCATGCTGTGGGTGGTGGCATCACCTCCCTCAGGAGCTGCAGGAGGGAGCACCCACTCTGGCTCTTCCCCCTCTCCATCTCTTCCCCCTCTCCATCCTCTCTCCTAGCTTCCTTTTCTAACCAGGACAGAGCGAGGAAAATGCTGGGTAACAGCAAGAGACCAGTGACCGGGCGTATTCACACCCGGAGGCCCAGAAGCCCAGACACCTGGGGCCGGGGTGAACCCCCACTTTACAGGTAGAAACAGCACTCCCAGTGGAGTTCTGGAAACATTGGCTGCTGACCTGACACTAGGTCACAGGTCCCCAGATGCACACCAACTTAGGAGATCCTGCTGGGTGACAGCCAGGTGGAGAGCCAGCTTGCCAGGGAGCCTCGCAAGCCAGTCACTGCCTCCGTGAGGCACAGAAGTGTCTCCAGCCACCAGCAGACAGTTCTGCAACACGGATGGATGCCGAGCAAGCCGGGCCTTCCCAGCATGGGGCTCATCCTCCACCCAGCAGGAAAGAGAGCAGGGTCTGCGGGCCACTTCCCTGACACCGAGGGCTTGGGGAAGTAACGGAGACTCCAACCCCCTCTCCCAAGGGCTGCCCCTGGAGACTCAGGACCCTGAGTCCCACAGCTCTCTCCACACTGCAAGCTCCTCCTGAGACCTGGGAACTGTGTGACTCTGAGCACAGGTCACCGAGCCCATGGTGCAGAGAGAGCCGTGGCCGGGGAGGGTCAGATAAACGGCCCAAAAAAATCCCAGCCAGCAAATCCCAACCAGCAAATCCCAACCTGTGTGTGCCTAAATAAAGATAAGATAAAGCCCAGCATGGCCTGCCATTCAAGTCAACACAACCAAGTGCTCACTAGGCAGTAAACAACTACAGGAACCTTCTCACTCTCACTCCACGTTCCACGTAACCACCCAGAAAGATCGATGGTCAAGTTCCTCCCACCTGGATGTCTGCAGAGAAGCAAAGGAATGCTGTGACCCAGAAGGCAGACCTGTGTCTCGGACTGTGGGTGCCAGACCTCAGGGGGTATCTGCCATCTCACAGGCTGCAGGCTCGTCCTCAGCATCATTGTACAACAGGGTCCCCAACAAGCAGGAGACTTTCTGCGGGACGTGCTCGGGGACTGGAGTGACCAGCCAGCAGGGATAAGAACCTTCTCTCATATCCAGGCTTTCTGTGTGAGGCCCTGAGGCCACCGTGGCCTGTGTCTTCCGCAGGTCAGGTTCACGGAAGAATGGGGGAGAGAGCGCCCTCCCTTTTCCTAAGAAGAATTCTGGGACCGGCTTTGTGTAGGATCATCTGGAAAAAATGACCCCTTTCTGGGCTTGTCATGGCCTGAGGAACACCGTCCACAGGCCTCTGGATGGCATCCTAGGTGGAACCACCAGGCCCTTCCGGCACACACTGAGGCTGACTGTCTGGGGCCAGGGCTGCAGGTGGCCCCCACACCTGGCACACAGGACCACCCTCTACCTGTCATTTACCCCTGCACCTGCTGGAGGACTTCTCAGACGCCCCCTATAAGAACAGAGTCCCCTAGGACAGTTACTGCCTTCTCTAAGCCAAGTCAGGGCAGTTTGCATGTGGACATGGGGTGCCCCTGTCTCAGCTGAGTCGGCTCCAGCAGGGCCTGCGTGTCCAAACAACTTCTCCCTGTCTCATACCCAGGGCTGAACCAGACTCTCTCCTGCAGACACACATCCCTGTCTATCACTGGAAACCCTCTTAACAACAAAAAAAGCAACACACACATATACACACACCCGTATGCATGTGGGCAGATCAGAGAAAAAAAACCCAAAAGGCTGAGGTGAGCAGCATTGCCCTCACTCGAGCCACAGGGTCTTGGCCAACATTTAACTATCACCTCCAGGCCCAAGATCGTCTGCAAGAACCTATCTAGAACCTAACGTAAGGCTCTACCAAAAAAGGCCTGTCCGAGAGCTATTTACAATTTTTTTTTTTGAGTCAGAGCACAATCAGCTCACTGTAGCCTTGACATCCTAAGCTCAGGCAATCTTCCTGCCTCAGCCTCCCAAGTAGCTGCAACTACAGACACATGCCACCAAACTTGGCTTTTAAATTGTTTTTTGTAGGCCAGGTGCAATGGCACATGCCTGTCATCCCAGCACTTTGAGAGGTGGAAGCTAGAGAATTGCCTGAGCCCAGGGGTTCAAGACCAACCCGGGCAACATAGCGAGACCTCGTCTTGATAATAAATTTAAAAATTAGCCTGGTGTGGTGGGGCATGCACCTGTAGTGCAGCTACTTGGAAGGCTGAGGCAGAAGGATCACCTGAGCCCAGGAAGTTGAGGTTGCAGCAGCCATGAGCTGCCACTGCCCCCCAGCTTGGGCGACAGTGAGATGCCAACTCAAAAAAAATTTTTTGGAGAGATGAGGTCTTGCTATGCTGCTCAGGTTGGTCACTAACTCTTGGGCTCAAGCAGTCCTTCTGCCTCAGCTTCCCAAAGTGCTGAGATGACAGGCATGAGCCATCAGGCCTGGATCTATTCACAATATTTTTTAAAGCCCCATTACTTCCAAAGAAACCCAGGAACATGTGGTACAGCCTCTTTGGAAGGCACTTCAGTTATCAAATTAGAACCCATACCATGGGCCAGAAAGCCCCAAATTCCCTCCCAGGGTGTTGGGGGTGGTGCTCTAAGCATATGTCTGTTCCTTGGAAGGGAAAACGTGGACACTGGCCTCTGGGCACTGACCTAGGAACACAGCAACACCCTCTGAGGCTTTAAAGGAAGGTGGAGAACAAGTCATACATTATGAACCAACTGGTATTTAAAGGAATAAGCAACCGTATATTTGTGGCAAGAAAGCACTAGTAGGAGACACTGTTAGCCACAGCAACTCTGGGGCAGGGAGAAGGAACGTCTCACATCTACCCCACACACACATCTATAGGTTAGGAATTTTAAATAATGTCTTAATAGTACAGGAGCCGGGCTCGGTGGCTCAGCCTACAATCCCGTGCCTTGGGAGGCTGAGGTGAGTGGATTGCCTGAGCCCGCGGGTTCGAGACCCGCCTGGGCAGGCGAGACCTCATCTCTACAATAAATCAAAAAATTAGCCAGGCATGGTAGCGCGCGCCTGTAGTTCCAGCTACTTGCAAGGCTGAGGCGGAAGGATCGCCGGAGCCCAGCAGGTCGAGGCTGCGGAGGCCGGGAGCGGCCACTGCACTCCAGTCTGGGCGACTGAGTGAGACTCCAACTCAAAAAAAAAGAAAGAGAGAAAATTAGACAACCCTCCACCCTACGTCCCCCTCCTGTTGGCCCAGGGAGCACTTCCCAGCTAGAAGCCAGCAAGAAGACAGAACTCAATACCCAGGGATTCATTTTTAAAGACAAATGCGGAGGCCCTCTACATTCCTGTCATTGTGTGCTGGGCTGAAACATAAAACATGAGGAAAACTGGACAAGCAAAGTTCTCGTGACAAAACAGCAAAGTCACCATCCTGCCCACTCTGCTCTCAGCCAGCGCCTCAGCCCTTAGCCCCGCATCTACAGAGGCCAACGCTTGTCCTCACGGGTGACTGCTACTACCTCTGGATGAAACAAAGTTTTATGAAGTCAATACCCACATCACTGAAGCTCCCTGAAAGGGCAAATGCACCCCTCCACGGTGGTGTGGCCGCCCCCTTCAGAGCCCCGGGCCTCTGACAACCTCAGCCTCACTGAGCCCTGCCCCCTGCCTTGCCGCTGCCCGCTGCGAGGGGCGAGACGCCTCCCCCACTGCAACACACAGTGGAACACAGGACCGTAACAGGTATGGCCAGCCAGGAGCCGCTCCGAGTAATTACAGGCGCCGGAGCTGCATGGACCAGGACCCACACCTGCAAACTGAGCCTGTCTGGCCCTGCCTTTGAAAGCACTCTTAAGACTCAGGCCGATCCTCAAACCAGTTGGCAGCCCTAAACACAGATCCATCCATCTTGGACCGCCAGGGCTCCAGCGTACACTTTGAAAGCAGGGAACTTCCAAGGCCGTGGGCTGAGTTTGAGAATTGCCAAGAGCAAAAAAAAAAAAAGCGGCATTTGATACAAATGATTTATTTTTTCTAAACTCCTACAAGAAAATTGTTTTGCAAAGCAGTGCTCTCTGGCCTGGTGAAGAACATATGGAGCACCGTGCCCACCCAATGTGGACTATGCCCCGTGGTTGTTTCTCAGCACTACTTGGCACCCTGTGCACCCAACCCAACAGAGATGGAACGGGCAGCCAAGCCCCCCTCTCCCCACTGGGCGGGCTTCAGGGGGCTTTAATGCTGCTGCTGAGCCTTTGCGGGACAGCTAGCCACACACCGTTTTATTACTACGGCTTTCTTATGAGTCAGCCTGTGTCAATGATTCCTGCCCAGCCGGTTTGGAGACCAGAAATTTGTAACTGCAATTTCCCTCCCGTCAGCCAGTCAGCAATTGGAGCTCAAGCAGGAAACTGGCCGTTCAGTCTCTCCTCTGGGTGGCTTGCGAGAGGCTGGGGACATTGCTCCGCAGGGGCCAGAGGAAGGTTGGCGCTCTCTGGAGCTGCTTAAGCCTTAACGGATTACCAGGGGAAGTGGAACACCCCCGGGGACAGGGCAGGGGCCCTGCGGTCCCCTCCATGCGGAATCCCAGGGATGGGGGAGAGGCGGACACGAATGAATGAAACGCACGTGGCCTCTGGGACCGGCGTCCTCAGTTAGCCCGGGACGGCCCAGGGACGCAGGGATGCGGGGCCCACGGCCCCCCAGCTCCCCCGCGGCCCCGTACTCACGCACGCAGAGGCAGGCCACGAGCTTGGCGGCCTCCTCGGGCACCGGGCAGGTGGGGAAGAGCGGCTTGAGCAGGTAGGTGGCGAACACCAGCGCCACGATGTACTGCGAGGAGGGCCGGATGATGAGCAGCTCGATCCAGAGCTTGAGGAAGGCGGGCAGCGAGCCGTAGACCTCCAGCATGTAGGCGTAGTCGCCGCCCGACTTGGAGATGGTGGTGCCCAGCTCCGCGTAGCAGAGCGCGCCCACGATGGAGAACACGCCGCACGCGGCCCACACCACCAGCGCCAGCCCCGGCGAGCCCGCCTCCTTGAGCACGCCCGTGGGCGTCACGAAGATGCCCGAGCCGATGATGGTGCCCACGATGATGGCCACGCCGTTGAGCAGCGTGATGTTGCGCTGCAGGGTCACCCCTTCGCCCGCGCCCGCCGCCGGGGCTGCGCCGTCCGCGCGCCGCGCCGCCAGCATCTTCTCCCGCGCCTGCCGCTCTTCCCCCTCGGCCGCCGGGGCCGCCACCGCG